GATGTCAGTGGTTCTAGCACATGGTGGAGGGTTACTTGAGTGAAGCCAACCATGGGAGTCTAAGAAGCATAGGTCCCCAGTGCAAGCTGGCAAGAGGATGGCTGCTCCTACTTTGCAGTTGCTATGAACTGCCATCTCTTCCTCCTGTCTTAGGGCTGACCGGGGACTGTGGAGTAGTCTTCAGATAAGAAAGAAAGAGGCAGAAAGCACATCACAACCTTAGGACAGGGCTCTTGGCAGACTTGCCCTTGGTGTAAAACTCATCCCTCAACTGGAGGCAGATGAACCTCAGTCTAGAAGTCTCTGATCTCAGCTCTCCTATTGACCTACGCAAACACAAAAGAAATAGAGAAATAGCCCTGAGGTATAGCCATTCACTGAATAGGCTGCTCACTGATAAATTTGTACCAGAACAGTCTGAATCCCCAAATCATCTTCATAGTCAACTCTACATTCCTCCTAATTTTGGGTTACCCTACAACTCATACAATCACCCTTGCTGCACAGAAGCCCTCACTAACCCACAGCCAAGAGTGGAAGTAAACATGGCCCAGGGAGGGACCATATTCCATGAGCCTGTTTCCTCAAGGAGGGAGCTCCTCATTTTCTCCTCAACCCTTCAAAAGAAAAGCCTGTCTGGGATCCGAGCAGAGAGAGTTGTGGCCACTGCCCATGCCACCAGGAAGCATAGGTTAAACAGGGCAGTGTGCAAAGCAAGCCCTCCCTAGCCTGTTCTTGGAGTTTCAGGGAACAAGGTAAGCACCTTTCTGCAGCAGCCAAGGAAGTCACGCAGCATGCCCTCCCCACCCCCTCCCTGCACAGCAAAGATGGCACAGATCCCTGGTGGCCTTCAGAAGAGGCCAGAGGTGGTTGTGTGTTTTTCACCAGCAGGACATAGGCTCAGTCAGCCTGCTCCTCAACCTGAAAACCTTGAGGGCAGAGGTTGATGGTCCCTAACTCAAAATTCTGTCGTTCCACTTCCTAAGGAAAATGCATTTGTGTTCATCACTGTTTTCCTAGACTTGGAAAAGCTGGTCCTTTAGTTGTACAGAACTGGGGATATCAAGGTAAATCTATTCACAGTCTGTTCCATGTCAGTGTTAAGTTCTGCGTTCAACATCTGCACAAGTTCCTTGAGCTAACATTAAAAAGTGATATGCCACCCAGCGCCCCCCACTTGGGGAAGCTAATTGTGCCCACAGGGCACTGGGCTCTTGCAGGACAAGAGGGGAGGAGAGGGGGAGAGAATTATAGGTGGCACTCTTTCAAGTTCAAAATACTTAAGAACCAAGCTTTAAGCTAGTTGATTAGCACCCCAATATCCATGTACAATCTTAGGGTTCTATTTCTCGAGAGTTTAAATGTACAATTTGGGACTTGCCTGATGAATTCAGAACAGAGCAGCGCAAGGAGAGCTCTAAGGCAGTACGAAAAAGGCCCTCATTTAGAGAAGGTGAAGTATCCGCCTAGGAACGTTTGTTCAGATACCGGGGTCCAGTGGAGCCTGCGGGATGCTGAATGGCTGCTCCCTTCCCACACGGCCAGGGTGCCACTACGGAGAAAGCAGGCCACTCCAGCAGTACCAGAGCTTGGGAGCCTGCACCTGGCCCACCCATCGCCCTCCCTCCCTCCCTCCCTCCCTTCCTTAATCAGACAGCAGCCTGGGAGAGGACAAACTGGCCAGAGCTGCTAGGGAGGAGTCTCTGCACACTGAAATTTTAACTACCCACTGGTCTCTCCTGGCCCAACACATGGGCTCTACAGCCTCGAACAGCCCAGGCTGTCCTAGCCAAGGCCATTCTCCTTCCAATGCCGAGAAGCCAGTGTTTCTCCTCCGGCTGTTTGAGGGGTCCATTTACAAAGGCAAATTGAGGCCTAGAAAAGGAACCGTGTCGCTCTAAGCCCCACTGTAGAGCCTCCCCGCCACCATTCTCTTTGTAAGAGAATATTCTGCAAGAAGTCATGACACGAAGCAGGCAGGACAGCATCAAGGAATTCCATTTCTCCTGATGTCACAGAAACACCAGCTGGTGCTCTGTACTTCTCAGCCTCTACAGATCTCTAGGATCCCTGAAGGAGCAGTGGGACTCTGAAAAAGACCAACATTCAACTCATTCTAGAGGCTCCTTCCAGCAAGGCCACCCAGGACAGCAGTGCGGACAGTGGCCCTGGGCCTGAGAGGCTGACAGGGCAGTGCCTGGAGGCCAGAGAACCTCAGCTCAGCTCAGCCACCTGGCTCCCTCAGTGAAGGCAAGCATCTCTGGGCTGGGCAATAGCTGCTTGGGGGAGAGACTCCTGCCCTGGACAGGCCCGGGTTTCAGGGCCGGTTACAGGGAGCTCTCATTTTTACGCACTCATCAAGCTAGGGTTGTGATCAGCCAGATTCCTCTTAGCAAATACACTTTTTAACTTGGATGGATGAGATTGAAAAAGGGGTTTACTCACAGTGTGGGGTCCCACTCCATCCCAAGCCACTAGGCCCTCTGAGAACCCCCAGGACCCTCCTCCAAGTGAGGCCAGTTCCTCTCTACTGGGGCCACTGAAACTTCTGAGGAAGATGCTCCAGGACTGCCACCTCGGGGGAACACTGAGTCAATGCATGTGACACCACAGTCACCAAACTTAAGGGCGGGCGGTGTAGCTCAGAGGTAGAGCACTTGCCTAGCATATGCAAGGCCCCATACTACAAAATAAAGTTTCCAGGGCCACCAAGCTGCTCACCAGGAGGCCAGCCCAACATGTCACCCCCACAGAGGAGACCAGCCTGGCGTGAGCAGACTTCCTACCTGAGGAGGGAGGAGACCACTGCCAAGCCCTAGTGCCTCCCTGCACCCGGGAGGCCCAGGTGTAGGATGCTCTCTTCCTTGCTAGTGACCAGCTGCAGTGGGTAGTGATAAATCCTGCCAAACACCATGGTCAGGAGGAATTCGCTTCAGCGTATGAACATCACCGGCAAGACACACACATACATCCCCTGACTACCACTTAAAACAGAGACACTCGTTAAGCATTCAGTCACTCAAGAAACGCGTGCTGATAGGAATTTCACTACTCATGGTGAATTTGGTATTAAATAAGACAGACGCACACATGAAATGGCCACAACACACATTTGGTTTCTGAATCCCTGTTTGGGGCCAAACTGACCCTGGCTGTACAGGCAGCATCTCTGGTGTCACCACATCTAAGGCAGGAGACACAGCAGATTTCGGGCAGAGGACGCTGCCACTGCTGGGCCCCACAGCCCAGAGACAGAGGGGAAGAAGAGGGACAGTTGGCTCCCTGGAAGGAGGGATAGGGACTGGCAATCCCCAAAGTTCCCTCCTTTGAAAACATGGGTCTAGAAATGCCTTCTAGAGTACAGAGTCCGTCTCCTGTTCTGATAACTACATACATCCCACTGGGAAGGGGAGGAGCAGGACCTCCACACCACGTTTACCAAGAAGCCCGTGGAAGGTTTCCATTTGGCATCTGTATAGCAGCATCTTGGGGTAGCAAGGGCCAGGGACTGGGGCGTGGGGACAGTGCTCTGTGCTCTAGGGTCGGGGAGGGCTGGCTGAGTTGACACCCCAGGCCGGAGGAATGTCAGGGTGAAGTCAACTTGCTCTTGCCAATGATAAACCATGGGTTTAAAATTCATTAACATTCATTTTGGTGATAAAAATTCCTTAGGGTGAGAGCAAAATCATATTCCCAAGCAAATGTTAAACCTTCCTGAGGGAAAGGGGCATAATTAACAGTAAATTCTCCAAACAACACTGAGCGCAGAGGGGCAGCTGCAGGTTCCTCTGCAGGCTACGCCCCACAGTGACGACAGACTTGGCAGGTTCTGAAGTGACACAGTTTTCTTCATTCATCCATCAAGTTCGACAGCGACACCCACTGGGGCACAGAGGAAGGGTGTCCCGGGAAGGGCCAAGGAAGGCCACTTGAGGGGCAAGTCCATCCTGTTAGGGTCACATCATGGGATCACAGCAGAGTTCAGACAGAACAACTTAAAACTCTGCAAAAGACACTTTTAAAAAACATGATCTTTTGAAAAAATAAATCGCAACAATTTTCAACTTCATGCAAATCGAGGGAGGAGAGTAATGATAAAAGGTAGAGCTGAAAAAATAAACATGATTCTATTTGGGCGGAAGAAGTTTGTCTCCGAGATCTTGAATGCCATGCCCCAGTTGTCCATGTCGCATTTCTAGTTCCATCCCTCCCCACGCCATCCTCCTCCGTGGCTTCCAGGAAGCGGACAGTCTTTGGTCTGAGAATGTTGCAGGGCGCAGCGTGGCGGACGAGCTCACACTAATGGTCAGACAGAGGCCATGGGGGGATGGGCGAGGAGGGCCCACTGGGCCCTCCTAGATGGCGCCTTCGCTGTGCAGGCTGTGGTTGGCCTTGCTGTGCGTTACGCAGTTCTGTTCATTGAGCAAGTTGGCCGTCTCGTCTGGCAGCCCATCATGCAGCTCCGTAAGAGTCAATTCAATTTTAGTGTTTTCACTGTCTGAAGACTGAGGAGTTTTGTCCATCCGGGATGCCATCAAGGCATTTTGGTATTGCTGTCTGGAGATCTGGGCCGGAAGATGACACAGAAAACAAACCAAGAGAGTGCTTATATCTAGGTTCTCTTGTCTCTACATATTACACACTGAACCCCAAAAAGCCCAGGGCAGTTTCTCCAAGGGAAAATCACCCTTAAGTAGAAACCAAGCCACTTTTTAAAGTTAAGGTTGATTCTGGCAAACAAGTCGGTTGCTGATGTAACCATTTCCAAATCTTGTTTCAAAATTTAGAAAACAGAGGGGTTCTCACCAACTAACGCTGGCTTGTTCTTCAAAGGACATCTTTAATTCAGACTAAGCAAAGACCCTGTCTCAAGGACAGAAGGCAAGAGGCAGCTCCTCCTAGCCCTCTCAGGAGGCTGGGCCTCCTCAGTTACCATGAGTCTTCCAACCACAGTGTTTCCCAGGCCAGCCTGGAATCAACAGTCATGGGCTTGTGGAAACCCTTTGAGAAAGGGCTCCCATTCCCTGCAAAGGCCACATTTGCTTTAGCCGCTCACTGGATAAAGCCAAGGACATTCACCGCCTGAGTCCTGGGTCCAGCAGATGAAGCAGGCATCACAGATGAGAGCTGGAGGCAGGGTACCCAATGACAGCCAAACAACGAAGGGAAAGCTCAGGGGATGGGCTGCAGGACCACAGCCTGCGGTGAAGTTGGAATCAGCCTGCCAGGTTCAGCCCACCATCCCCCCTCCACCTACCTTGACAAACTGCAGGTCAGAAAGGGCTCGCACCGAGTAGTCCGGGATGTAGACTTGCAGGAATGAAGAATTGAGCTGGTTGTTGCTGCTCCCCAACGTGGGTGTTATTGCATCAATCCGGTCACTTCGACTGAGAGAGTCTGAGTGATTCAGGCCACAGGGGCGAGGAGGTGACTTATTTTCACCTAGAAAAGGAGGAAAAGCCCTTTCAAGTGAAGTAAGATACAGCCAGTAGCAAACATTTTATTTCCAAATGAGAACTATTTACCACAAGCTTATACACGACGCCCTAGCCCACATAGTGGCAGTGCAGGGACGTCCCCCACTCAGCACATGATGGCTTCTCGTCAGCAACAGGTGACATGCAGTCCTCCCAGTCTAATGGTAAAGGATCTGCAGCTGTGCAGCCACCTCTGTGAGGAACATCACTGAGCACCATGAGATGACAGTGAAGATGGCAGGGAAGCAGCTGGGACCCAGGGCAGGCCATGAGAAGATGGTGCTTCATGACTTTGTCAGAAGCAAAACCAAAATACCAAAACACTTCTGTCTGTTCACACTGCATCCCCCGGCCAGACATTTGTCTTCAACCCCAAAAATAAGCTCATCAGGCAGCTTAAGGATGTGTCAGGAATTCAAGAACACTAGAGGATACCAAGCCTTTAAGAAGCTTGGCTTAGAGGTCTTAGGTGCTGTGGGGCTCTCGGTGAGACTCTGAGAGCACCCTGCCAGGAAGGTACAGTGAAAGGAGTCTAAGTGCTCTTGCTCCCAGAGGAAGTTCACTACAGCTTTAAATATATGTATTTTTTCTAGTAGTGAGGTTTGAACTCAGGGCCTTCTGCTTGCTAGGCAGATGCTCTTCCACTTGAACTATGCCCCCAGCTCAGTATAAATTTTGCTAAAAATAAAACGTGCCTTCCATCAAGTCTTCTTCCATTTTTGCTTGCTTAACCAACTCTATTGCCGAGATATTAGCTGGGTGCCACAATGAACATTCATAAGGTCACAGGAGTGGAGGGGACCTAATCTTCCATTTGACAGATGCTCCCACAGAGGAGCCAGCCCATTGGTCTTGTCCTTCAGCTATTGGGAAGTCCATTGTGATGGCCAAATCTACCTCCCCAGTCTAGTCTCATGTTCAATTATGGAGCACCACCATACAACTCTCATCCCTGTGCTATTTGAAACAGCCCTTAAAAATGTGAAGAGACTTGTACTCTCCTGAAGTCTCTTCTCCTCACATGTGCTCCCTCAGCCTATCCTCATCACTGTCCATTTGGTAAATGTCTGCCTTAAAATAGGACCCTTGGAACAAAATGTCAGCACTCCAAATTGTTCAAAATGACGAGTTGATTTTCTTCCAAGGTTGCCAAGCCACAACTTACAATTGTCACATCATGAACTAGTTTAACACAGCTGGTCAAAATTAAACTCAGAGCAGCAGCTACTCTTATTGCTTTGGCTTATCTTCTAAGAGAACAAGGCACATGGATGTTGAATATTGAGCAGAACAGAACTTTGAACAGGTGACCCAGCTTTGCTAAGCTTCAGATTCCTTATCTGTAAAGTGTACATAACAATATGCCTACCTCGTAAGATCTGAGAGCTCAAGCTACTATACAGAGTGCTGTGTGCAGCACCTGACACCCAGCAAGTACCCAATAAATGTGCCTTGTTAACATTCTCTCTTCTTCCTGTTAGCTTCTTTCCATTCACCACAGTGTGCCTACCCTCAGGACCAAGCCTTTCCACATGGTGACAGTGTCATCCATGAGGGCAGATGTGACAGTTCTTTGAAGGAACCCTACCACCCCTCTGGATGCAATCACAAATCCCCTCCCCACTTCTATGGGTACTTCCCAGTGTTCACTTCTAAGTGCTAAAGTTGACAGGCATGAAGGCAAGAATCCTAGAGGGCTCGCTACTTCTCAGCCAGATGGAGGTTGGGGCCTGCATACTTCTAGGCCCCCTGTTAGTAGCAACCACTGTCCTCTGTTCTTGTGGGATGGAGTCTGTGCTTTGCCAGGAGCCCACTGCCCAATGTTACAGCCACAGCCACAGCCGGGAGAAACCAGGACCTCTTCTACAGTCCTGGCATGCTGGGCTGGGGACACAACCCTTCGCTTAAGCGCATGGCCTAGCACTTCAAGTTCAGTCATGACAATTAAAGTAAGAATAATAATACAGGTCCATGGGAGCCAGAGAGGTACTGGTATTTAGAAATAAAACATGGTCCCTCTGCCCCATTACATACACTCCCAGCAATTCCAAGGCAGACCTGTAATGAAAGCATCCACCTGCAGTGAGACGTGTGAAAACCCACCCCACACAGACAGAGGCTGGAGCAGCTACACCATAGCTTGGGTCATGTGTTGTTTCTCTGCTATTTCAGTATTGGTTTATCTGTTGTTATTATTATTACCATTATTATTACTTGTTGTCTGGCTTATTTATTTCGTCCATCCTAACTAGGACCCTTCCCGTTTGTTAGTAAATTAGAAGACAGAGTAAAGACACATTCCCAGCCTTCTCCCTCGGAACTATAATGTACCTTCCAGAAGAGGCTGGAAATCCCTGACTTAGTTTAACCCCCATTTGCAAAGTATCATATTATTGTAACACTAGAATCTCTGCAGGCTGGGACACACAAAATTCTCTTTCCTATTACTGAATCAAAAGGAGTGCACAGAGCTAAGAAATCTCTAAGTTCTATGGAAAAAGTAAATACAAATGACATGGCTTTACCCAAAAGTGATCTGCTTCAGCATCTGGGACACTTTAAGGAGGTAGGAGATGCCAACAAATAAAATGAGGAGAAAAAAATATAAACACACATACACATGCACATATGTGTGTGTGTATGTGTGTGCATACACATATATTCTGCTGGCTGGTTTGGTTCAAATAACTCTATGAATTTCTTACCCCTAAATGCCCCAAACTTTAAGAGCAAAGGCTGGAGAGAACATTAATTTCCTTCTAAGACAAGTATTGCTTTCTTCACCAAGTCCCAGCACTGTAGAGTTTTGCTGAAACTGGATTATAAAACCAGTCAGGTTTAAAAATATAAGCTGTATGGAATAAAATTGTGCTACCAATACGAGAGCCCAGCAATTTTAATTAAAGAAAGATTAGGCCCTTTCCTTTCCTTTTAATGGCTGTACATAGTAGCCAGGTATGGCCAAACTCTCCTGCAGGGAGATAAAGCAGCTGGTCAGGAATGTGCAGGCACTAATTTCAAAACAGAGAGGAGACAGGAAGAAGCAGGACCACTGTCTGATGAGAGCAGACCATAACCCTGTTCACCTGGATGTTGGGTAGAGGACCAAAGAGGCAGGAAGATGGTCGGCCCCTGTGGATGAGGTGTTTTTCTCTCTTGCTTGCTAAGAAAAATTCATAGTCCTTCAGGCTTCTGGCCAAATGCTTTCTACAAAAAGATGAATGCGTTCTAGCCTCAGGTTTTAAGGCTGCACCCCAGGACTTGCTACAGTTGGAGTTAAGACCACAAAGCAGCTCCCCTTTGGCTGACCTGAGAATTCCAGGTCAGTGGTGCAGGTGGGATGGGCGGGGTACTCGCCATGTGTGATGGCCTTTCTCCTGCTCTTCTTTTCATCACTGTTCCTATTCCAGAATTCCTTCCCAGCCCTCTGAACTCTTACACTTTTCTGGAGAGCTTGCTCTCAAGTCAGAAAACCTTAGCATTTTAGGCTCAAAGGAAAACAGAAACCAGCCTTGTCCAAACAGAGGGGGGCCAGCCAGGCTTCTGCGGGGTCAAGGGTAGGGAATGGAGAATTAGGAAAAGGAAACATGCAGAATTACCTGGAGAACCTGCTGCTAACAACTCTGTCCTGCTGACAACAAAGGTACGGGACAGGGACAAAGGAACTGAAAAACGGAGAAAAGCAGTGTGAGATTGCATCGAAAGACAGGAAGAAAATCTCTACTCAAGAATGGGAACGGATACCTGTTCTATCCAGGTGAACATTCCAGCCCAGAAGTGCAAAAACCCATGTGACACGACATAAAAACGCGCACTGTACACACACTGCTTTCAAGGAAGGCGAGCTGGGGAGGCTGCGGTCAGAGAGGCCCCGTGTATGTGTTCATATCTAGCCTAGAAAGCTTGTAAGCTACAAGTACCCAATCGGGGTTCACAGCTCCAAAACATACTAGGCACAAATGGCCACACAAAAGGGGAACTCAACTACTAACTGCTTAAAGAGCATGACCCAGGTCACACCCCAGTCCCATCCACTGCACGACCTACTGTGCTCCTCTCTGTGACCAGCAGTTACTTAGCCAATTCATTTGCATTCGCAGTCTTGAAATTTTGACCTGATGCTTTGAATTGCTTTGGAATGATTGCAAATCTCAAAACCAAGCAACGTGAATAAAGAATGTCATGCCCAGATTTCCTGAGAACAGCTGACCAAGGTTACACTCATCCCTGCTTACACAGAGAAGGAGCTGTAGTCATGGACAGGTAATACTTCTGGGAGTGTCTTGAGAACCAAGGATTGTAGGTTTTCCCCAACCAACCCTAATAATGAGAAGTAAGTGTTTGTTTACCTGGGAATGCCTGTAGCAATTACTCTTCTCAGTGAGAGCCCAGCTAGTGAAGTAGAACACAGGCTTTGGAATAAGTGGAGTAAGTATTAGAGAACTGTCCCTTCTTCACTGGCAGGAGGCGGTGCTGCTCCTTGGGCTTCCTAGAGAAGGTCACTCTGCTTCCCATTCTGAATGGGATTCCTGCTCACACTGGTTCTGTGTGCTGGGCTAATACTTAGGTCTAAAGAACTAGTAACCAATAAAAATGGGCAAGTTACTTTTGTTTCTTTTCGGAGCCCACCTTACAGATCTGGTTCTGCTAACCTGGGACTGATGGGGGTGGGTTGCCCAAAATAGGCACAATGATAACACCTTCTGCTATTCATTTTCTCTCGTGTTTTAAAGGTTACAACTCAATTGTATATCAGTGCATTCCACCATCCTAATAATCACAGGAGGTATTATTATATTCATTTTTATTTATATTTGATATTTTTTGCAGTTCTGAGCATTGAACCCAGGGCCTCTTGCATGTAGGCAAATGCTCTGTCACTTGAACCATGCCCCCAGCCCTTTTGTTTGTATTTTGTTGAGACAGAGTTTTACTAACTTTGCCCAGATTAGCTTCAAACTCTCAATCCTCTTGCCTCTGCCTCCTGAGTAGTTGGGATTACAAGTGTGCATATCATATCCTGTTTTTTTCTTGGTGGGACTATGGTTTGAACCCAGGCCTTCTACCATTGAGCCATACCTCCTATCATGTCCTTTTAATGAGGAGGAAACTAAGGGCTCTTCTCAACATTACACAACCTGCCTATGCTGGAACTGAGGGAACTGTGACCCAGGACTTTCCTGCCTGGTTATGAAGTGCCCCTCTCTCCAGTGTCACTAAGCAGTGGAAATGGAAGGTCACTTTTTTTTTTTTTTTGAGGTATTGGCTATTCAACCTAGGAACTCATGTATGCTAGGCAAACACTTAAACCAGCCCCTGGAAGATCACCTTTATATTTACAAGAGATCTGCCACATAAATGGGGTCTGAAGGACCACAATGGGGACTCTGTGTCCACAGGACTTTTAGATCTACACATGACAGTGAAAAGATGCATCTGGAGCAAAGGAGGCTTAATGTATGAGAGGAATATTTTTTCTTTCTTTTTTCTTCTTCACTTGTATTAGGATATATTTGTTGTATAGGAATTCATGGTGACAATTCCGAACAGGTTTACATTATATATTGGTTAAATCATCCCCATATAAAAGAAATACTGACTGGCTTTCTAACATCCTTGGGTCTCTCAGTAGATGAAGACCAATGTCACAAAGACAGACTTGTCTGGAGGTCTCCTTTCAAGACTGGTTTTCAGACTGACAGCCTTCCTTTTAGGTTGGAGGTTGGTTAAGTTTCCTAGCACAGCATATCCTTTGGTATTTTGGCCACAAGGTGGCACTCCAGCACCTCCATTTACCTGCCTGACCTGCTCCTACCAGGGTAAAGCAAACACTTTAGGACCACTCAGGTCCCATCCTGAAGGGGAGCAAGCCCACCAGCTGAGGGCATCCACGCTCCTTCCAGGACAGGTGCAGCTCGTTGGTCTCTTGGAATCTTGTGCTCAGAAAACTATCCCGCGCCTTAGCAGCCAACTCAGCTGGCTAGCTAAGGAGGTAAATATGCAGTGACAACCTCCTTCACGCAAGGCAAACTCCAGAAAGCTAACATTTGAGAGTCACCGGCTGGATGGAGAGCACCGGCACCTGCACACAAAGCAGGCAGGAGTGTAACTGGGACAAGCCTTCAGGAGCCACTAGGCAGTGGCTACTAAAGAGGAAGGTGCACACACCATGACAGCAATCCCACCTCAGTGGAAACGTGCACACGCGTCCACCAAAAGACAGGTATGGGAGCACTCATGGCCGCACAGTTCACACCAGCCCCAAACAGGAAGCCGCCGCGATGCCCAGCAGCAGGGGACAGGATGAATGCGTAAGTGCGAATTCACTCATGGTCGTGAGAAGAAACAAAGTCCAACCATACACACCACCACACAGGACTGTGACCAGCATAGCACAGAGAGGAAGAAGCCAGCAACACACTCTACGTAAATCCATTTGTACAAAGTTCAAGAAAATAGTGGGTACTTCGGGGGCACAGTGACTCAGAGGAAGCACAGGGTGGGGGAGGGTGTACGGGGTTGGTGACAACATTGTCTCTCCATCTGAGTGCTGGTTTACCCAGTGACGTTCAGCGTGCAGAAACTTGTGTATGCTTATGATTTGCACAGCTTTGTATGGCTATACATCAATAAAAAGCTCAAAAAGCAAATAAATGAGGTCAGCTGGCAGGCAGAGAGAACACTGAGGGTAGAAAGCATTTAATATGTGGTCTGGCCCTACAGGCTGAGAAGCAAACTCACCTGGAGAGGCGGTAAGGGCCATTACACCATAGTATGAAAAAGCGCTTGCTTCAAACTTCATACCTTCTTTCCCAGCTTCTACTTCCACTTTCCCCTGTGGAAAGAAAAGGGAATTTTCAGTGTGGTTGTATGAGTCTGTTTGCACTCTACACAAAATCCAGTCCTTCCCCAGTGATCCTAAGGAAGCAAAGCATCAGAAAATCTTGTCCATGGAAAGGGGTGGGTGAATTCATCATAAACAGGAAACTGAATTGGGCTGGATAGATGGAGGTGGCAATAAAACAATGATAGTTAATATCTGTGGGTACCCTTAATATTTCCTTAGTTTGTGGGTTCAAGAGCTCTCCAATATTAAAAAGAGTCAATGAGAAAAACGCTGAGGAGGCGCTCAGTGATGGCTGCCTGAGCTGTCCTGCAGGAGCCAGAGGTGGGGCAGAATCAGGATCAAGGGTCAGCAGAGTTTGTGGCCATGGAATGGAAAGGAGTGAACTGGTTGTGAGGCAGGACCCATTCTTGTCTCATGAGCCTGGTGTCCTGACCAACTGAGTAGCTGCGTAGTGGGTCGGCACCTTTTCCAGGGACCACAGAGCACAGACTTCTATCTTGGAAAAGCACCTTGGGAAAGTTTCATCAGAACAAAACCCCCTTGCTGCCCTTGCGCTTCCCCCCTTTCTTCTCTTCTCACTTGTCTGCAACCTCTCCTTCACCTTCAGCACTCCAGGGACGACGGTGGCTTGTCCATCGCTATAACTCTAGGGACCACCATTGTCCTTCACAGTGCTGAACCTGCACTGAGCCTATATTCTTATAGGAGTTTCACTTCCAGGATTCCCAGTCAAGGGTCAGCCCGGCTCTTGCTCACATTGAGAGCATGCCTCTTTAGGACATCCTTTACATGGGGTAAGCAACTGGGGAGCTGCCCTATACTGAAAAGCAACTGAGCTAATGCTGCACAGTGTTTTACAATTCTTATAAAGTTCACGACTCTAGGAAGCAGACACAATTTATCCCCCCCTCACAAATCAGGAGACTCTGACCACAGAACAAACTCTCACTGGATGGGCTGCACCACACCACCTGCTAATGTGAACCCCATAACTCTGACCAATGCCTATTAAATTACCCTACAGTAAATTTTCAAGTACAGAAGGCTTTCCTTTTTCAGATACCTTCTCCAGAAGACTTTCCGTGTCTCTCCTAGGTTTTCCTTCATTCAGTGGAAATACTAGTTTTCACCAGTTCATACAATTCTCTTGCTGTAAGAAAAGAACTTACATCTGCACTCATTTCTTTTTTTTTTTTCTTTTGGGATGGTGGAGTGGCTCAAGTAGTAGAGTACCTGCCAAGCAAGCTATGAGGTCCTGAGTTCAAACCCCAATGCTGTCAAAAAATTACATATATTTTTTTCTTTTTTGTACTGAGGATTGAACCTGGAGTTTCTCCTATGCTAGGCAAGCACTCTACAATTGAGCTATACCCCCACCGCTCCACCAGTGATTTTAAACCAACCTTTAATGAAACAGGTACTGAACAACCCACCCCCCTTCCCCTGCCACACAGGCAGGGCCCTATAGGAGCTTCCAGGAGCCCGACAAACCAGCCCTTGCCCTCTGAGGGAGCCCCAGTGCAGTGGGTGGAGGATAGCACATGAAAGCCAGAGACAGGAGGCATGACCAGACGGACAGAGACAGTAAGAACAAAGGAGTTCAGAGAAATAACTTCCTTCCTGTTCCTGTCTGAAGACACATGTTCAACAAGAGGGAAGACCTAAGGATGGGCAGGATCTGGCTGAAGCAAAAGGGAGCAGTGTGGAGGAAGGTCTGAAGCAAGTGACAGCCAATGCCAGGCTCTTGGGCTTGCACAGAGAAGAAGTGAGTCTGGAAGGCAGGTGGGGTCTATGTAGCTCCAGGAACAATAGAAGTCTAGACCGAGCTAGGGTGGTGGCTACAGGACCGGGAAGAGACTGGGTGAGAGAAGCCATGGGTGAGGAGCCAACATAACTGGGTGATGCCATCAGGAAGAGAAATGCAGGGGTAGGAGCGGGAGTCAGAAATCACAATAGAAGCTGTGCGTGGTGCCTTGAAGATGAAGGCGGGTCTCATAAGTGGAGGTAGAAGCGTTGGGAGGGGCTGCCCTAATGGGGTTGGGAGAAAGGACAAATTCTAGTACAGAACAAGGTCTTCAAGGTTGAAGTGGAAGGATGAAGGTTGGGGGAAGGTCAGAACTGAAAATGGAGATCCAGGAGGCACAGAAAGGTGACAAATGGAAAGAAATGGGGAGCAAAGGACCAGCTTGCAGCCCATGACTGAGAGGAGGAGCAAACTGGAAACGGTTTGTTGACAGGGAACTGGAGCAAAGCAGAGGCCCTGACAGGGGTCTCACCACAGAAACTGGGCGAGGGGAGTCTCCTGATGAAGGATTGGTCAACAGTGTCACCTGCCAAGGGACACCACAGACAGCAGGCAATGCTGCTGACTGGCCAGGGAATTGCTGGGAGCCTGCAGGAGAATTTCCATTCCACGGAGAACAGAGAAGTCAAACAGCAGGGCTGATGGCAGAGCAGGTGGCACACTGTTCCCTGTCTAACAGAGGAGGCACTGGCATCAGGCCAAACAGGCCAGAGGCCACTCAGGATCTGGGGCAGAAAGTCACTGGGGAAAGAAGAGGTGCAAGTGGGGAGCAAAGGCCATGGCTAGCAGGAAAGCAGGGGCACAGGGACTGTCATCAGATGAGGCAGGGTCCCTCAGAGAAGAGGGAAGAAGGAAGATGACATTCAGTGATAGAGAGCAATGATGGCATTTGTCGTCTCAATTTTCCATCCAGCTTTCCCTGCACTGACTCTTGGTTTTGAATAGAGTTTATATATATATATACACACACACACACACACACACACATACATGCTCTCTGGAAACATCTGTCTCTGTTCATAGTCTGTCACCTCAAAAGTGGCTACAGAGCCATCTTTATCTGAACTTCTGTGCAGAGTATCACAGTGATTGCCACCTCCAGTAATCTGTGGTTTGTTCTACAAGTTCTAGTGCCTGTGTGTTCTGCGTCTTTGCCAACAGGTGTTACATCACACTTACTTGTTGACAAACTGTCAGAACTGGCAGGACAATTGTCACCCCAGAACCAGATTGTGGCAACAACCCCAGCCTTGCCTCTTAGAAAGGAACCATACTGCTGGGCACCAGTTGCCCACACCTGTAATCCTAGCTACTCAGGAGGCAGAGATCAGGAGGATTGAGGTTCAAGCCAGCCCAGGCAAATAGACCCCAAGCCCCTATCTAGAAAATACGTAACACAAAAAAGACTGGTGGAGTGGCTCGAGGTGAAGGCTCTGAGTTCAAAGCCCAGTACTGCAAAAAAAAA